TGAATGTCACACCATTGACTGATGGATAAATATAAGCCTCAAACAAGTCCTGCCATTTTCAGTCTTGAGATGAAAGAACTAGAATGGAATATGTGAACTTTGTGTGTCCTCAGTTCACCTCCAGATTACATATCCTGCATGAGAACTGGGTAGGGTTTAGTGCCACAGCATAGACAGCAAATGAGCTTTGTAGGCTCAGAAGTAGTTTATGAAGCTCTGAACATCAGAGGCCTACCACAGAGCAGCTTCTTAATAAGGGTGAAGGCAGAGGTAACAGTAGAGCAGTGGGGCAAATCTGAAAGTTTAGGAAAGATAAGGAAAAAAACCTTCAGATATAAAGGAAAATAGATTATTATGGATGGCATCAGCTGGCTAGCGTTACGTTATCACTCAACTGGTAGGATCTCTTTCAACTGACCTCAGAGGAAGAAGATTAGATCAATAGTCAATTAGGCTGTTCCTTACTACTTGCATCCTTCTTCCCTCTTTTATTCTGATTTGGGACACTGAATGTGGGCAGGAGAATGGCACAGTGAAAATCCTTTCCTACTGCCCAATAACTAAGATGGAGGAGCAGTGCTCCTTGTATATTTTGCTGCTCTGTTAAATACAGCTTGTTATATGTTTCTGCCTTGCATGTTCTCTCTCACTGGCTGAAGCTGGTGTTGTATGTTATTTTGTACACTATGTTAATGTAACTTGATGTCACACAATGTCATAATATACAATGAAGGGAGCAGGCACTAGGGGAACAGCCATCTTATAGTAGCTGCCTGTTAGCTTAAGGATCTGTCTTGGTTCTGGTTTCCCAGGTGTTTCCACCCCGAATTTTGATGTGGCCAACAAAGAATGCAAGTGGAAGTAGGTGCAGATAGGAAGGAAGGTGAAACAATGAAAGCCACATCTGCAGAGGCCAAGAGAAGCAGGAATGAGGGGCAGTAGGTGAACCACCAGAAGAGGCAAGACCACAGTTCCTTCCTGGTTGTCATGTCTGAAGGCAACCTTCCCTCATCTTTTACTAGATTCCTTTTTTGCAGAGACAGGAGAATGGGACTAAAGTCATGGCAGTCTGACTGGTGAGGATGGGGTTCACACATCATGGGGATTCAACTGGTAGGTTCAGATCTGCTACTAGGGTGCAGCTTTCACTATAGTAGGTTGCAACAGCAGCCCTTTCACTATACAAATGTATGGTTTAGAAAAGAAAGGAGTACATACTCGACTGAATTTTTGCATCAAAGTTTGGTTCCACAACTAAAAGGATTGCTGACTACCATTTTCCTGTTTGACTCTTGTAGTGTTACCTGCATCACTATGAATAGAGAAGGCTAGCTAGAACTGTTTCCAACATTTTTGAGTCACACCCCCCTTTTATAATATCTAAGTAACCTCTGACCCCCACCACCATATTTGCATAAAGACATTTTAATAGGTTAAAAACACACAATAAATAGTTTTTTTCAGTATATAATTCTAACCTAATATAGTAATATTAATGTAATTATGCATAATTAGGAGGAGGCTGTAAATCCGCCTCTTCCAGGTAAAATTTGAGAAGGAAAAAATTCTAACCTAATATAGTAATATTAATGTAATGATGCATAATTAGGAGGCTGTAAATCCTCCTCTTCCAGATAAAATTTGAGAAGGAAAAAATGTCAATGCACTTTGAGTTTAATTTACTTTTCGGGGGTTGGAAATGACCCTCTCTTCATGCTTCTTCCCCCCCAAAAAGCCCCACAGTGAAGAGCCCTGCCCTCCCCTACATTGTTCAAAAATCATTGAACAACAGCTCCCATCTTCCACCACCCTTGGCTATGTAGGATCAGACTACCAAGATGGAAAATGAGTTTTTCTGGTCAATCTTCCTCCTCCAAGTTCCATGAAGGAGACAGGTTGACTGCACAATGAAAGCCTAATCTGGAAGCCTCTCAATGTACAGTCACAATTAAGTGGTTGGTGCTTTCTAGAACATTCTCAAGTTCTCAGGATAATGGTAAGGCTGAATGGGGATGGTGGTAACCAGCACTTTAATAGGTAAGATATCTTACATTGGGATGTCCAGTTCCTTTGCACCTTGTTCACTTGTCTGTTTTTCTTTGATGTCCCTATACATCATCTTGCAACAGAGTGTTTACAGTGGTTGATATAGGGATTCGCTTGCAGGCAAGCAGATGGAGCTGTTTATACAGATAATACGGACAGTTTTCCCTGAGAGAAAGTAATCCCTGTTTTTATCTTGCAATGTTTTAAAGTATTTAGGAGTTGGCTGCTCCTAGGCGATGCTACTGAACTCACAGGGTATGTGTGTGCATGTGTTTAAAGAATGTTTGGAGATACTACTCCCTTTCAATCCCTGGAGCACATTTATGCACATATATTTTTCTTCTTGTCATGCCTCTTCTCCTCTGTAAAATTATTCCCTATGCAGAGTCAGAATATACTGTCTTGAGTTAAAACTCAAGGAAAAAACGTTTGCTGAAGGAAAAAAGTCTCAATTTTTGAAGAAAATTGTGGTTTTTGAAGAAGTAGCCATTTTAGTCAGTGCAAACATATCAGACATATAAACAAAACAAAAACAAATCAAAAACTGAGATTAAAAGGTTGTGGCACCTTAAGGATTAGCTGCTGTATTTTAATGTGAGCTTTTGTGGATCAACTCCACTTCCTCAGACTTTGCAGTGAGACTATGTCTGCCATGTCTGTATGTCAACAATCTAATGGCAGTGGTTCATTAGTAAGGGGAATAGGACTATCAGGCTGTGAATCATTTCAGTCATCCGTCTATGAGTCTACAAGGCAACAATAGCATTGTTGACCCAAGTGGCAAACTGTAGGGATCAGTGAAGGATTTTGCAATTGGTAATGACATAAGAGCCCTGATTTATCGTTTTGATGCTGGAGACTCACTTAAAAAGGATTAAATCAAAGATTTTTGTCAACCACCTACACTGTCACATGGCCAACCAGAGGGGGCCAGGCCATCTTGGGCATGGAGGACACTGGGACACGTAGTCTTGCTGCCTATTAAGCTCTATAGACAGACAGACAAGTTCATTTGTGCCATTACAAAAGAAGTTTGAATAATATAAAATAATCAAATATGTCATCTAAACCAACTAAAATTCAACATTTTCATGGACACAATTCAATCAAGAGATAAAGCCTGATCATCATCACTACAGTTACAACAGTTGCTCTAAAAGCAAAACCGACTACTTTTTCAGAAATATATGGTGGATTATCTCCCAGTAGAAATTTTATCAGATATGCATTAGATCTATTAAATGTGAGACCTAACTCTTTAAACAGAATTACTCTTAAGTAGAGATGAGCATGAACCAGAAAAATTGTGGTTCATGATTTGTCAAGTTTGATGAATCATGAATTATGAATTTATGTTTTTTTCTGACAAATCAATTTATCAATTTGTTTTTTACTTTAAAACTCTGTAAAATCCCACACACACAACCAGCACCTACAGACACCAAATTTGCAGGGAAGCTTCCCCTGATTCTCTTATACAATGCCTTCATGTTTGGTTTTGGATATCCGAGTTGCCACCTACCTCAACAGCTATACTGAAAGTGTGCTGGGCTGTCTAAAGACCTGTGAAGGTTTTACATGAAGATCCTGAAGTACCTAAGCACAGTGGCTGATTGCAGCCCTTGTCATCATTCCATGTTGATCCAGGGGCTGTATACTCCTTAGAAATGTTCTGAATGAGGCCTTTATCACAACATCACTTTGCCTCCTTCAGTGAATTTTTGGACAATATGCTTCAGACAATATCCTTCTCCACTCATAAGCCTCCGTTGTCTCTCACTGTTTCTTACATCTTTTTTTCTTCCAATAGCAATTTTGCTCAGAAGAAAAAAATTGAATAATAGATGTTGTTTCAGATTACCCTTGGTAATTTTGTTAGGCATGGTAGCCTAAGTCCTACTGGAAGTAAGAACCAGGTTAGTTACAAATAAATTCATTGCTTCATTGCTTTCAGTAGAACTTAGACAAGACTCTCAGCTAATTTCAGTTTGTCTGGGGTGCAGTTCTTTATATAATTTTTCAAATATACTTTTGATATATGCTGTGATCTTGGTCAGCTTTAATGAACCACATGGTAAATTTCTGGGAGTACACCTGGACCCGATGCTCACCATGGAAACCCAGGTGTCGTCGGTAGTTCGCACCACCTTTTTCCACCTTTGGCGGATTGTCCTTGACATGGGGCACTCACTATCTTGGTACATGCGCTCGTAATCTCAAGATTAGACCACTGTAACGTGCTCTACGTGGGGCTGCCTTTGAGGCTGATGCGGAAACTTCAAGTGGTGCAAAATGCAGCGGCCAGACTCCTTACTTGAGTGAGAAAACACCAACATATTTCTCCCGTTCTGGCTATGCTGCACTGGCTGCCCATCCGTTTCTGCATTGAATTCAAAGTTCTAATGCTTACCTATAAGGCCCTAAACGGTTTAGGACCTCGATACTTGGCGGAGCTCCTGCTCCCACCAAGAACTACTCGGATCACCGGCATGAGTCAGGAGGTGAGGCTGAGGAGCCTGATGCCGAGGGATGCCCGGAGGGAAAAGACTCGAAGCCGGGCCTTCTCGGCAGTGGCTCCTCGCCTTTGGAACAACCTTCCTCCAGATATTCGTGAGGCCCCTACGCTGCGTACTTTCAAATGCCAGCTGAAAACATGGATGTACATCCAGGCCTTCCCTCCTGTCAACTACTGATTCCTTTTGCTTTGCTATTTATTATTTATTCCTACACTATTTGTTATTGTTGTATACCAATGTTTTTATGTTTTTTAATTGTTTTGATATTCTGTAAGCCGCCCAGAGTGGTAGAATATACCAGATGGGCGGGATATAAATCGAATAAATAAAATAAATAAAATAAATAAAAATAAATATCCTTTGTGAAGTAACCATAGTGAGACTTCTCTTACATAGAAAAAATTCCTGTAATGTCTGCTTTTTTTCCCAATGCTCCAGGGGAAAGTCCAGGACAATAACCTTTGACCAGTTTAAGGAAGCACTTCAGGAGCTTTCCAAGAAACGGTTCAAAGATAAGAGCAATGAAGAAGCAGTGCAAGAAATGTACAAGCTAATTGAAGGGAAAGGACCAGTCATATCGGGAGTCACGGTATGGTAGCCTGGCATATGGGAATTTTAGCCCTCCTTCCCAAAAAGGCCTCTCTTGGAACCACGTACTTCCAGTTCTTTTTCAGGGCAAGAGTCCTCCTTGTGTGTTGATCAGCCTGGGCAGATATTTGTCTAGTCTTACTTCTGCATCCTGTGAGAGGCAGCTTTACCTAAGCAAAGACATTCTAGAGATGACATGTTCCAAATTCATTGACATTTCCTGTTTCTGTGCATCCTTTTCTAATGCCTACATTTTCTGATATATTCCCAGACATTTCCACCATAAGGTGCTTCACTGCAGAATTCTTACCAAAGCATTGGGGGAAATATTGACGAGGCAATTTAAAAAAAGTTTCTATCACCTGCTGCAACTTTTTGTTTGTGTTTTACTTTTTAAACCAGAATAATGTCTCACCTTTCCAGCAGTAAAAGCTGAAGTGGAAACAAAACTTTGGAATATGTAAATCACTATTTCCTCTCTGTGCACTCTGTGTAACTCTGATAGTTTCCGGTCATAAAGGGGAAAGGCGAGAAGTTTTAATCTGATAACGTTTGAAGCAGCCTATTATATTATGGCCCAAAATTAAGAAAATGCTTGTGACGATGTTCTCTGTACCAAATAGGAGGTTCAGGCAGTTGCTAATGGCAGGATGATTGTTTGCCCATCAGGCTTAAAGCAGTGGGCACATTCAAATGCTTGCAGGAAACACAGCTAGTTCTCCCTGTGAACTACAAGTGCCACCCATAATCTTCTGCCATAACACAACATGGTTGGGGATTGACATCTGTCTATATGAAGACTTTGTAAGGAACTTTGTAATACCACTACTTTGATAAATGAAAAGTAAGTAGGTGAAAAGTAAGTAGGTTTAGCTGAAATAAACACAAAGTCTAGGCCCATTTATTCCAGTCGCCTATCCACTTCTTTTATTTCCATTGTGTCTCTTTCTAGATGTAAGCACTTTGGTGTAGTTATCAGTCCTTCCTTGGCAGTATTTTAAAAAAAGAAGGATACATCCCATTCTGCTTTGTTCAAGACATTTAAAATCTAAAAGCCACCTATGTAGTATCCTGAAAGCAAGTAACAAATCAGAATAGAGGTAATCAATATCATGATGTAGATCCATTGTGCCAATGTTCTTATATGTTCTCGATCATGTTGATGTTCTTTACTTCCTGTTTGTCCCTCTTCTTGTTAACAGAAAGCCATTTCTTCTCCGACTGTCTCGCGGCTGACAGACACGACGCGTTTCACTGGTTCCCATAAGGAGAGATTTGATCCATCTGGGAAAGGCAAAGGCAAAGCAGGGCGTGAAGACCTGGTCGACTCATCTGGCTATGTGTCTGGGTATAAGCACGCCGGCACTTACAACCAGAAAGTTCAAGGAAGCAAGTAAGCTTGGGGACTGCCAGAGAAGAGGGTGTACCTGTGAGAGTGAGCTGGATGGGCCTCCCCTCTTTCCAGTTGCTGTCAATGCCTGAAGAACTCTGCTGGCAATCTGCATTTGTGGGGATCAGAACCCATTTTGACACCTCCTGAGACTCTTGCAGCAATGCACCACTTCATTACATTCCTCATTCTTTAAGGCAACAAAAAGGAAGTGGCAAAGTGTTTGACCTTTTGAGCAAGAAACCACATCCAAGGGCTCTCTTCCCACACCTCATCTATATTGGTAGCAAATTGCAAACATTCCTGTTTTGCTCCTTTGGCGGTAGTAACACCCCCTTTTCACCTAGAAGGGAGGCTTTAAAAGGAGAACTTTGTGTGCTGATAGTTTATTTAAAGCAGATCTATTTGCTAAATTTGATTATTTATTATTGAACAATGTCTTAATAGGAAACAAATGCTCCCAAAAGATAAAAATTAAGCCTTTAACTGAAGGGAATTAAAAAGCTGTTTGTTTTTGGCAGAGGAATAAAAGTGCTTATTTTTACAAGGAGGAAACTGCAAATACATTTATTCCACCTCATTTGTAAGCAAGGATTTACTGTAGTTTTTTAAAAATTGTATTCTTCATTAGGGGATAACGAAGCTCTCCTTTGTCCTTGTTTAAGAAAGAGAAGATTAATTATTGTCAGTATCTTGATCCCCCCAAATCTTCCAAAGAAGCTTTTGTATTTGTTTCTTCAAACCATGTGGCATGGTGACCAGGGGTAAGCATATTTACTTGAAGGAGCAACAGAGGTTGGAGGCTTGTTCCAAATGACATGGTTAGTTTCAGTATCTATGTGTGCATCCTTCAGTCTGGCAGTCAAAAGAGGATTTAAGATTGTGCTGATATATTATTAAACATTATTTAGAGTACATGCCACAAATTGAATTTTCATTTACTTAGATGTGAAGTATCATGCATAAATGGATACTTGCAGAAGTTTGCATGAAACATGGCAGTTTTACACACAGAGAAATAATCAAAATGCTTTGAAATGATCTCCTTTATTCTGGCTGTTCCCTTAAATAACATTGTGATTTTAATATTTGTTGAATAATCTTTTTAGTCTTCTATTTGCAAAATGAATTAACTCAATTATTATCATTCATTCTGTTGTAAATTTGATAAAATCTTTTTGTTAAATTTTCTACTTATACCTGTGGAGAAAAATCAATGTGGTGTTGTTTTCCAGGTGATGTAATCATCTGTCATGTGAGCTATGTTTTGTGTTGTGTTGAAATGTCACCTTCTTTAAGAGAGAAAATAAGCTAATTTATATTGTCTAAAAAAACCATACACCAAATGCACCATATGAATATGCTGAGGAATAACTTTGTTTTATAACATGATCTTCACACCTTCTGGTTTCTTGTTCAGCAAAATATTTATTGACTGCATTAATTTATAATCTATCAAATAATGGGTGTAATTTTTATAGGGATGTTTCCCAACAGTTGAATGCTCTGCCTTGTTTTTCATGAATTAGAGTACTACACGTGTTCAGCCACTATCCTCAGAATCTTCTGTTTTTAAAAAATAGGAATTCACCACGTTTACTGCCATTTTTTCTTATCATCTCTTGACAGGTGTAACATACCACTAAAAAGCTGATTGTTATCTGTTTGCTTGCAGTAACTCCAACTGATTCTTTACAAAGGCTTTCCCAGTCATTGGCTGCCTGTCATTTATAGTTGCTTTTGTTTTCTTGCAACCTAAAGTCTTCTCAGCCTGCTCTAAAAGTGAATCCAAAATAATAACGGCCTAAATCAGTTCCTGCAGGTGCAGATATCCTCCCCTGACCAGGTTGTCAGATGTACGTCAGCTATGTCGTGATTAGAAATAGTTCTGCTGTGTGGTTTTATGGAATAGTGAGTACAGTGTATCATGATCTATTGTCTCTAGAAATTGCGAATGAAAGTGTGGCAAACCTGTTAGGGAGTCTCACTTTATTACACTGACCAGAATCTTCAGATCCAAGGATGATGCCTACCCTTGGCTAGCACTGTGGATGAGAAAATAGCTCCTCTATAGTGTACCTAGGAAGAACCACATTAAAAAGCTGTTTGGATCAGCTGTCAGGTGTTGAGCCAGTCTTGTGGGATTCTGTGGTCTTTGGGTGTCTAGGGATCTTTTATTTCTTTTGTTCCTTTTCTTCTTTTCTTTATTTAAATCAAGAACATATGAGCCATTTGCTCATGTGATCCGGCTGTGGGTGTTGTCCGCGCATTGGAGGTAGGGGTTTGATGTAAGAATGGTGTTGTTATTGTCACCATGTTCTGGCATCATCTTTGTTTTTGTTTTTATTGATAGAAATGTTTTGATGCCAAAAGGTGAGTTGCAGAATTCTCTTCAGTGGATTTACAAGTAAGCTCTACATATCAGGTGACAGCCTAGAGCAGTGATGGCACACCTATGCCACGCGTGCCACAGCTGGCACACAGAGCCCTTTCTGCCGGCACGCGAGCCATAAATTGCCAGATCGCTACTCCGCCCCCTCGCGCAGCCAAACCTGAGAAGGTGGCTGCAGCCGCAGTGCTGGCACTTTGACAGGCGGATCTGGAGCAGCTGGTGCAGGCAGCGAATCCAAAGTGGGGTCTCAAGGCACCTCCGTGCCCGGGATTCCCCCTTCTGCCAACATCTCCGGTTCTGCCACCGCCACTTCCAGTTCCACCACCACTGTGGCATGCCGCCCACTGGTCTCCCCGCCCCCCAGTTTGAGCATGTGAGCCCAAAAAGGTTCACCATCACTGGCCTAGAGCTACTGAAAGTTGATGTAATTCTATTTTTTTCCTAATGAGCACTATGTATTCATTTTTATTTCTTTATTAAGTGATTTAAAGAAACAGACACTACCTCTGAAGAGTGGTGCAAGCACTTAAAAGCAAATACTTTTGCCAGGTCTTCTCGGTGAAGAGAACACATGCGCTCCTGACATCCCTGTTTCTCTCCCTGGATCCCTCATTCTGAATCTGTTGGTCTTCTCTGTCTCTAGCATATAGTAATCCACATCCCAGGAGTGCACTGTGCTGCTGGATTAGTAGTAGGCTCCCCCAGAAGCAGCAGGGGAGAGGGGAAATGTGAAAAAAAATTATTCAAATGTGAATGTGACGGAGATCAATATCTGTAAATTTTTTAGAAACTATTTTATTATAGTAAAATGTTTACAACTCTCAAGCAGAATAAATCACATTAAGCATAGAATATTCTTTATATTTTATTGTTTGAACTACAACTCCCTCCAGAATATATTCCCAAAATGCGCACATGTACATGGAAATGTTCCTGAAATAAGAGCCCTTATAAAACACAGTGGCAGATGGCTATGTACACAAAGATTGCCACACTTTGACCTGGCCAAGGCTCCATGGGAGAATTCTACTTGGAATTCTAGTAGATACCAACATGTAGTTTTAAAAAAAACGGGCTATACACATAACTGCCCTTCCAGCATGTTTAATTTCCATCATGTTTAGTTGGTGGTATTTGGACTACAGTATCATGAAACAGTCAGAACAAGACAGGTGAATTTAAAAGAGAAAGCCTCCAAGAACTTTTCATTGCTTAACCCTGGTTGACAGTGTGACATCATGTGCAGGTTGCTAGGGAGCATGAAATAGAAGCAGTTGCACTCATGTCCTGCTAACAGACTTCCCATGGCCAAGAGTTTTTCCATGGAGGAATACTATGTGGGACTAGGTAGGCTTTTGATCTGTTTCCTTATAGCTCCTGTTTTGCATCCATTGTTTAGATATAGGTACTGTAGGTGTCTTGTCCAGAACGAGACTATTGGTCAGGGTAATCCACAACTGTCTATTCAGGATAGGAGCACTTCATCAAGATCACATGCAGAAAGTACCTTTCCCACTTCCAGAAGGCTGATGACATTGCACTGTTCAAGACAGAGCCATAAAGGCCACCAAAGAACAACATTTTAATACTGAGGGAGCAAATCCCATAGGGACTTCTCCCATTCCTTGGCAGTAAAAGTGTTATATTAATGATAAATAAAAGGAACAACTATCTTTACATGAAGTTCTAGATTAGCTGCCTGAAGCTAATGCCTCACTCTTTTTCACAAAGAGGTTGGTCCTGTTCTTAACCTTGCCTGCAGGTATCCTTTTAACCTGAGATGCCAGAAATGACCCCAGGTGCAAAGGGAATGTTGAACCACTGAGTCATAGTTTTCTGTTTGACAAAATTTTCACCAGTGCTTTCCTCAGATTATTTTTGTTGATCAGATAAAGCTTTCCAAGTATAAAGTAATCTTCATCTTGCTTCCCGGTGATGACTTGAGTGCTCCATGGATTGATATTTTACTCTATCTGGCCCCCAGACACATCAAAACACTGAAGCTTTGAGATTCCTGTTGACTTTGCAGTGCACTACTACAGAATAAGCATACTCTCTGGATTGTGTCCCTTGGTACACAACACATAGTATGTTGTTTAACACTATGTTTTATGATGATTCTTGGAGAGCTAGAATGAACAGTTCAGTGTACCGTATCTTATAAACCACATACAAATATGCCCTGCCTATAGACAGCTCATTCCTGGGACAGGAAGGTTTCCCTCATAATTGTGGGTGAAGTGCCCCCGTACTCATCCGAAAACGGCCCTTGTTGTTCTCCCATTGGTTTAGAGACAAGTGATTTGAAGTTTGCAATAAGGAAGTCAATGCATGAGCCTCTTCATGATCCTATGTGCTCTGCAGAGTGAGCCCTTGCTTTGAGGGCCAAATTACTTCCATTTCCCACTTTTTAATGTTTATTGTTAATTACAAAGTATTAATAACCAATATCAATTTACTTTTCAGTATGCACACTTACATAAGCAAATTGAATTACCCATAGAGTCCAAAATAAAAGGTAGGCCACTTGGGAATGATCAGTCATATGTAAGCAGCTTGTGTGCTTTTAAGTTACCGTTTTGTGAAAGTTGGCAACATGAATCCATGCAGAACTGGCTGTGGTGATATGTTTCTACCTCCAGTTCACTGGAGGATCAAAGATCTGTGTAGGTGCCTCTGCCTCCTCTGTTTTCTGATTTAGGATATGAAGCTGTAAACAAGCGAACCGCTGTTGTCTCAAGGTGAGCAACACTTTGAAAGAATTAAATATTGCAGTCTGTTATTTTTGCACAAAGAAAAGTTTTTTGTGTCTGTTGAAACATTACTTCCAGGAGTTGGGTGACCCTTGAGAACAAGTAGGTGATGCAGAACCAGGGTCCACAACTGAATGGGGCAAGTGGAAAAAAACCTGAAAACATACTTGTCCGTGTGGGTCTTCCACTTCTGATAAGCTTTTCTGTGTTTCTTTGTTAGTGAGGGGAAACTACTGTTCCTAGGTTCATTTTCCAGCCATTTTGAAACCAAAAAAAGTAGATGTAAGGGTATACTGATGGATGTCAGGCCCAGAAACATCTGAGGAGGAAGTTCAGTTTATGTTAAACTCAGGGAAAATAAAACCCTTAGTAGTACTATCTGGATAGAAAGTGGTCAAGTTCTAATTATTTGTGGGTCATGTTCACACACATGGTGGAAAAGTAAAATCTTTGAAGACTGTTTCTGGCTCCTCCTGAGCTATAGTAGGCCTAGGAGGAAAAGAACAAGGAAGAAAGGAAAACCATGTTTGTGGCTGTTCTAGGCTTAGATGTGGATCTTTTCAAAACCTTAAATGATGCCTGGTTTTGGGGGAAGCCTTCCCATTCAGCCTAAAGCAGATGAGGGATGTGGAAAATACATTAACTTGTATCAGTTTATCACTTTTGTTTATATATGGAAGTGAGTAACTCCAATGATATCTTTTACATGTTAAAGGCGTTAAGCTGGAAGAATTAATATGTAGATCTCACATGCAAAACTGCAAGTCATAGAAATGCACAACATCCTTACAATAAATGAGGAGTTGTACTAACACCAGTTAGAGTATGATCACACAGGGAAACAGATCACAGTTTGTACTGCCTGTGGAATAGTCTGGTGCAATCTGTTCCCCAGTTGATCACACAACATATGGGGAAATGTGCTCAAGCACAACCATGCTCCATGCCCAAGCTGGACCCTTTTGTCCCAGACTTTTACCTTTGCATCTGTCTGATCACAGCCCTAGTGGGATTTAAGCTCTCTTTTCTCACAGTCCATTTACAGGTTGATAATTTTGGTTCCAGTCAGGGAAATTCTGCCTTAACAGTGGATATATAGGTATTTTTTAAAGCTAGAGGTCACATATAAGATGGCAAAGCATATTCCTCTAAGGTAGACCCAGATCTAGTCATACTGAATGTGAAGTAATTGAAATCAGTAGGTCTTACTAATGTCCCACTGATTTCAGCACATCTGCTTTAAGCATATGACTAGGCCTGGGTCCAACCTATTGGCTACCATTCAGTAGTTGCAACTCATGTAGGGCCATTGAATAAGTAGAATTTATGGAGAAGCTGCCTCACCAAATCCCCACTGATTCAGTGAGCTGATTCTAGTTGCAACTTACTACTAGATTTCAGCCACTGTGACTTATGTCAGATGAATGCTTTCCAACTTTAACAGTATAAAAAGGATATTAAGATAGCTCTGGCTAGAGCTATAGTTTCCTCTAGCTGTTGGCTTCCTAATGAATTAGACTCACTGGCTAATATAATGCATGTGGAGAGCATGAACTAGTGGTTTGGTTTGGTTTCCAAGAGGCCCAAGCCATGAGATCTTGATGTGCTGAGAAAACTGACTGGTCCAGAAGTAGACATAGAATTGTAAAATTGTTCTACCTTTGCAGAAAATCTGTTGTTACAGCAACACCTGATGAAGATTTCACTGTTGTTTCAACAAGCATTTAATGTGGTGTAACTACGTTTGATAGAAGTGATGTAAATTGCTTGGACATATTTCAACACATCAGTTTGGTCCTGGGAACATGCTCAAAACATCCTACTCCTTTTAGTGCTTCCGCTCTGGTCAGTGACAGTAAAACTGACTGCATGCTTGTTTGATGTATCTTTCTGAGGATTGTGTTGCATGCTAAGTCACATGTAGTTTGTGTGAACATTCCATGTGTACCATTTCCTTGCCAGTGGCCAGTCTGTTGTGGGAGTGTTTTTTTTTCCTGAAGAGTTGCATATGGTAGAAGGAATTTAAACTCTCTACCTCTGTGCTTCCATGAAGTAATATACTCAAGTCTATACTGGAATACTCTACTGCAAGGTGCAAGTATGAATAACAATTGAGCTTAAATAAAAATAAAACTTTCTGGTTTTATATGGTACAATCTGAAAAAATCAATGTATCAAATGAAAAGAGGTCCACTTTATTCCCATAGTCTCAGCTTTTCTGCAGTATTGTTTGTTCCTATGACAGTGATCCACATGTGCAAAAAGCTGCACTGCGGAAAGACTAGAAATTGGATTAGGTTCAGCCTTAGTAATGCTTAGACTAAATCCATTAAAATCAATGAGGCAAGGAAATCACCATG